AAGGTGGGTCCCAGAACTAGACTGGTGATCTGAAGGCTAAGTATAGAAGGGAGCTTATCATATTCCTTAACCAGAAACTACAAGAGAGGCAGGAAATAATTTTTTAAATGTCAGTAATAAGTTCTTCCTATCAACAATTACTTGAAATATAAATGGACTGAACTCCCCAATCAAAAGACAGAGTGGCTGAAGTGATGTTTTTTAAAAAAGCAAAAGTATATGCTACCCACAAGAGACTCACTTTAGATTTAAGGACACACATAAGGCTGAAAGTAAAGAATGGAAAAAGGTATCCCATGCAGATACTAACCAAAAGAAAGAAGGGCTGGTCAGACAAAATGTACTTTAAAAACTGTCACAAGAGACAAATATATAATTATAAAAGGGTCAAATCACCAGGAAGATGTAATGATTATAAATATATAGCACTAACATAAGAGCACCTAAATCTATAAAGCTAATATTGACAGAACTGAAAGGAGAAATAGACAGCAACACCATAACAGAAGATTTCAATACCCTACTTTCAATAATGGATAGAAATCTATACAGAAGGTCAATAAGGAAGCAGAGTACATGAACAACACTATAGATCAAATGGACTTAGCAACAGTACACGTCACTCAACAGCAGCAAAATACACATTCTAAGCACACACAAAACATATTCCAGGATAGACCACATGTTAGGTCACCAAACAAATCTAAACAAACTTAAAAGATTGAAATTATGCCAAGAATCTTTTCCAACCACAGTGGAATGAAATGGAATCAATAACAGAAAGAACACTGGTAGTCATAAATATGTGAAAATTAAACAACATATTCTTGAACAATGGGTCAAAGACGAAATCAAAAAGGAAATCAGAAAATATATTGAGACAAATGAAAAAAAAAAAAAACACACCAAAACTTATGGGGTGTAGCAAAAGGAGTACTAAGAGGAAATTTTATAGTGATACTTACATTAACAAAGATGATTTCAAATAAACAACCTAACTCTATACCTCAAGGTACTAGAAAAAGAAGAACAAAATAAGCCCAAAGTTAGCAGAAGGAATAATCAAGATTAGAACAGAAATAAATGAAACAGAAAATAGAAAAGAATAAAACAAAGAGTTGGCTTTTTGAAAAGATCAACAAAATTGACAAATCTTTACTCAACTAACTACAAATAAAAGAGAGAAGACAAATAAATCAGACATAAAAGAGGAGACATTACAACTGATGCCACCAAAATAAAAAAAAGATTATAAGAGACTATTATGAATAATTATATACCAAAGAATTAGATAATTGAGAAAAAAAATGAATAAATACCTAGATGTATAACCTACCAAGACTGAATCATAAGTAAATAAAATATCTGAATGAATCTACAACTAGTAAAGAGATTGAATCAGTAACTGAAAACCACCCAACAAAGAAAAACCCCAGGACCAGATGGGTTCACTGGTGAATTCTACCAAACATTTGCAGAATTAACATCAGTCCTTCTCAAAGTTTTCCAAAAAATTGAAGAGGGTGGAATGTTTCCAACCTAACTTTATAAGGCCAGCATTACTCTGATATCAAAGCCAGAAGACACTATAAGCAAACTACAGACCAATGTCCCTGATGAATATAGATGCAAAATTCTGAACAAAATACTAGCAAATCAAATTCAACAGCACTTAAAAAGAATCATAATATCATGACCAAAGGGGGTTTATCCCTGGGATGCAAGTATAGTTCAACATACAAAAACTAATCAATGTAAAACACCACGTTAACAGAACAAAGTTTTAAAAAAACACAAGTTATCTTGGGGCGCCTGGGCGGCTCAGTAGTTAAGCATCTGCCTTCAGCTCAGGTCATGATCCCAGAGTCCTGGGATTGAGCCTCACATCAGGCTCCCTGCTCGGTGGGAGGCCTGCTTCTACCTCTACCTCTCCCACTCCCCCTGCTTGTGTTTCCTCTCTTGCTGTGTTTCTCTCTGTCAAATAAATAAAATCTTAAAAAAAAAAAAAAAAACACAAGGTATCTCAATAGACACAAAAATCATGTGACTAATTCAACACCTTTTCATGAGAAAAACACTAAAAAACTGCAAATAGCATGAGCTTACCTCAACATAAAAGTACCATATGTAAACAGCCCATAGCTATCATCATACCCACAAATGAAAAACTGAAAGCTTTTTTCTAAGATCAAGTTCAAGGCAAGGTTGCCTACTTCTGCCATTTCTATTCAACATAGTACTGAAAGACCTGGCCAAAACAATTAGGCTAGAAAAAGAAATGAGACACATTTAAATTGGAAAATAAAGAAGCAAAATTACTTCTGCATATGACATGATCTTATATGCAGAAAACTATAAAGATTACACCAAAAAAATCTGTTAAAACTAATAAATTCAGCAAAGTTGCAGTATAAAAAAATTAACATACAAAAATCTGTTGCATTTTTATATACTAATAATGAACAATCAAAAAAGGAAATTAAGAAAACAATCCCACTTATAATAGCATCAAAAAAATAAATAAAATACTTAGGAACAAATTTAACCAAGGAAATGAAAAACTTATATACTGAAAACTATAAAATACTGCTGAAATAAAATTTAAGAGACACAAATTAATGGCAAAACATCCTGTGTTCATGAATTGGAAGAGTTATTAAATGGCCATGCTACTCAAAGCAATCTACAGATTGGATGCAATCTCTATTAAAATCCCAGAGGCATTTTTTAGATATAGAAAAAAGACTCCTGAAATTGTTATGGAACCAAAAAGGAACCTAAATAGTCAAAACAATCTTGAAAAGGAACGAAGATGGCACCATGCTTTCTGATTTCAAAACATATTATAAAGCTATGGTAATCAAAATAGTATGGTCCAGACTTGTAAAACAATTGAATAGAAGACAGAGCCCCAAAATAAACACATGCATATGATCAACTGATCTTCAACAAGGGTGCCAAGAATACATAATGGAGAATGATAGTCTCCTCAACAAATGGTGTTGAGAAAATTGGACAGTCACATGCAAAAGAATGAAACTGGACCACTATCTTCTACCATACACAAAAATCAACTCAAAATGGATTAAAGACTTAAAGACCTAAAACTGTAAGACTCCTAAAAGAAAACATAGGGGGAAAGCTCCATGACATTAGTCTTGGCAATGATTTTTTGGAAATGAGATGAAAAACAACAAAAGCAAAAATAGATGAATGGAATTACATCAAACTAAAAATCTTTTGCACAGCAAAATCAACAATCAATAGAGTGAAAAGGCATCTACAGAATGGGAGAAAATATTTGCCAACCATGTATCTGATAAGGGGTTAATCTCCAATATATTTAAGGAACTCCTACAACTGAATAGCAAAACAAAACAAAACAAAAAACCCTAATAACCTGGTTAAAACTGGGCAAAAGACTTGAACAGATATTTCTCAAAAATAGGACATATAAATGCCCAACAGGTATATGAAAGATGCTCAACATCACTAATCATCAGGGAGATGCAATCAAAATCACAATGAAATATCACCACAGCTATTAAGATGGCCACTGCTATAAACTAAATGTTTGTGTGCCCCGCCCCCAATTCACATGCTGAAGACTAATCTTTGTTGTGATACTATCTGAGGGCAGAGCCTTTGGGAGGTAATTAGGTTTGGATGAAGTCATGGAAGTGGAGCCCCCATGATTGAATTGGTGCCCTAATAAGGGGATGAAGAGCCCAGAGATCTCCCTCTCTGCCATGTGGGGACACAGTGACCAGACAACCTTCTATGAATCAGGAAGGGGGCTCTCACCAGAGAACAAATCTGCCAGTGCCTTGATCTTGGACTTCTAAGCCTTCAGAACTGTGAGAAATAAATGTTTATTGTTTAAGCCACGCAGCTCATGGTATTTTTGTTATAGCAGCCTAAAATAACAAAGATAGCCATTATCAAAACAAAACAGAACATAACAAGTGTTGGTGAGGCTATGGAGAAATTGGAACCCTTGTGCAACGGTTGGTGGGAATGCAAAATGGTGCAGCTGCTATGGAAAACAACATGGAGATTCCTCACAAAATTAAAGATAGAACTACCATATGATCCAGCCCTCCCACTTCTGAGTACATATCCAAAAAAAATGAAATCAGTTATCTTGAAGGAATATCTGCTCTCCCATATTTATTGCAACATTGTTCACAATAGCCAAGAGGTGGAAACAACCCCATGAACATTTATTTATTCACTGACAGATAAATGGATAAAGAAAATGTAATATATATGCATGATGGAATATTAGCCATAAAAAAAGAAAGAAATCCCATCATATGCTACTATTTGGATGAATACTGAAGACATTATGCTAAGTGAAATAAGCCAGTCACAGAAGGACAAATATTGCATGATTCTATTAATATGAGTTATCTAAAATAGTCAAACTCATTGAGGTAGAAAGTAGAATGGTGGTTGCCAGGGGCTGGGGAGGGGAAAATGGGAGTTGCTATTAAATGGACATAAAGTTTCAGTCATGCAAAATGAAACAGTTCTAGAGATCTGCTCTTCACCATTCTGTCTGTAGTTAATAATATACACTCCACTTAAAAATTTGTTAAAAGGGCAGATGTCATCCTATGTTTTTACCACAATAACAATAATTTTTAAAAATTTAAAAATTTTTAAAAACCTACTTTAATTTCCAGACATATCAATATCCCCAGCAAAAAGAGAAACCTGCATAGGAAAAAAATAGAAAAGCTGTGGATTTCTACCATGCCCATGGATGCACCAGACTTTCCAAATAATCTTGCCATCTGGAAGCCCATTCTTGGTCTTTAAAGTATTTAAAGGCTTTGCAAAAGTTCTCATAGGTGAAACAGCAGGCAGCATCTACAACATCTCAGAGGGAGCCTTCTGCTTCCAGGAATAAAGTCACACATTCACAGGTGCTTCCTGTTTTTTCAAACACCTTGCCCACCTTCTGCACACCAAGCTTGCATTCTGCAAAACGTGAGCCCAACAGGAAGCTGCCTGCAAATTCAGGTAGCTTTTCTGATTCTTACCGAGGTCTTGAATATACTTTCAGAGAAATGTCAGCAAAAACTATAGTCATTTGGAGAAGAACAAGTCTGGAAGAAAAATACACAGAGGACTAGCACCAAGAGGGTGAGAATATTTTTCTGTGAAAATGCTGTCTAAAAGTTACATATTTAAACAAATACATGTGTTTTCTTTATGTTTTGGGCTCCTGTGGGTGGAATTAGGAGAACTGACTGCATGTGGGTGGTGTTTGTCATTTCTCTGTTGTGAGGGAAGGAGTGGAAGAAGGAAGGTGAAGCAGAGAGTAGGAAGGAGAACTGGATGGCTGTAATGCCCCCAACTAAGCTCTGGGGAAGAATTACTGGAAGAATTTTTCTATTTTGGGATGCTCACAAGCTTGTCCTGGGATTTCAGAGCCGCCATCTTGAAATGAGCATGAAGAACATTGATTAAAATTGTGATAGTGTTTCCAGTAAGCTTTGATTAAACTATTCTGGGTAATGTCTTCTTAACATGGTCAGAGGTGGACTTGGAATAAAAATTGCAGGCTCTGTACTCCGTTTTCAAATGGGTTCAGAGAAGAAGTTGTTCAAGGCAATGTATGACAAGTCATGCAGTATAGGTAATGAATAATCTTGGGTAATAGATTGATTATTTGTAATTAAAATTCAAAACTGGAGAAATTAGTCATTTCTAGTAACAATATTTGTTTAGCTCCCAATTTATATTTTTATATTTTCTTTTGTTTTTTCCATTTTTTTGTCCAACCATGTTATCAAATTCAGTTCAACTGCATAAATGTTTCTGTTTATTAAATTGACTCTTTGATGCTCTTTTTTTTCCACAATGAAATTAAGATCAATAACCACAAAGATAAGCTTCTTCTGGTTAACTGGCAAAAAGCCTGGATGGGAGAATTTTCCTCTTCTGGGATTCAAACAAGTGTCTATAACCTACAGCAGTGAGAACTGGTCCATATACATCCTAGAAGACCACGCTTAGCAGTAAGTTAAAGGAACAAAGCTAAGGTTGGTTAATTTCTTTTTGCTTGTAATAACAACGGTGGAAAAACATGAAAATCTTATATAACAAACCAAAACTTTCAAATAAATACATTTTATTTGGAAAACTTTATATATCTAAGAGTTTGAAAAACAATGATTTTTTTTTTAACTGCAAGATCTCTCCTACACAAGAATTTATTCCTCTTTCAGCTGTCTCATGTAGTTTGGTAAAGCAGCGTGTCACTGTGGGAGAATATCTATTGAGGATCTCAACATGTAAATGCTACCGATTCAAAGAAGTCCTTGTGCTGAGGAACCTGACTTCCTCTCTGGACATACATATAAGACGGTGCAAAAAAAAAACAAATAACGACAAAGGCAGGCAGGGTTCTAGTCACTTGGTTCTATTGCTTACTAAATGTCTCTGGGTTTCTCATCAGCAAAAGTAGAAAATTGGATTAGGTATTCTCTGAAACCTTTTCTGGCTTTAAAATGTATTGATTCTTAGGTTTTAAGAAAACCTAGAAGACAGCGCATGCTAAGTGTCAGATGAGTGGCTATATTGGTTCTGAAAAGGAAGACATTAAATAGGCCTGGACCAACTGGGATGAACTCCGCAGACAGAGAGCATGAGCTGTGTCTGGAAAAGGGGAAGAACCTAAGAAGGCAGAGAGGAGAGGCAGGAGTCCCCAGGCTCACTCTGCAGATAAGCGGATACTCGAATATGGCTAGATTCAGAGGATGTTCAAATATGGCCAGATGCACATCTGAGTACTATAGATAAAATCTTGTTTCTTGCTGCCTTAACGTGCAAGGTTAATAAAGGTCACTTGTAGAAAAGTATTGTAGAAAAGAAAGAAAACCTTGTAGAAAAGGTTTAGTAAGTTGAGACAGAAGTTCTAATAGGCACAGTATCCTCAGAAGAGAGCCACCAAGATTGGCTGGATCTTCTTAAATTTTAATTTTAATTCTAATATAGTTAATATACAGTGTTATATTAGTTTCAGGTGGACAACATAGTGATTCAACAGTTGTGTACATCTCCCAGTGTTCATCTCAACATGTGTGCTCCATAATTCCCGTCACCCAGTTGACCCATCCCCCCACCCACCTTCCCTCTGGCCACCATTAGTTTGTTCTCTGTAGTTCAGAGTCTCTTTCTTGGTTTCTCTTTTTCCTTTACTTATTTGTTTTGTTTCTTAAATTCCACATGTGAGTGAAATCATATGATATTTCTCTTTTTTAGACTGACTTATTTCGCTTAACATTATACTCTAGCTCCATCCAAAACGGGTCAGCTATATGCAAAAGAATGAAACTGGACCACTTCCTTACAACATACACAAACAAAAACTCAAAATGGGTTAAAGACCTAAATGTGAGACCTGAAACCATAAAAATCCTAGAAGAGAGCTCAGGCAGTAAAGACTCTGACATCAGCCGTGGCAACATTCTTCAAGATTGGCTGGATTTTAAAACCAGAGCTCTCTATTAAATGGTTTAGTGTTCCTTTAAAAAGTTCAGAAAATACGTCTTCTGGAACAAAAACTATGCAAAATCATGGCTAACGGGACCACTGGCTCTAGGCAAGGGAACAAGTCACTAAGGGTAAAAATGATACTACCCAGCAACTAAGAAAGCGGCAGCTTCCTACTTTCAAGTAGGTCTACGTGACTCCTGCTCTATGCTCTCTGACCCCATTCTGTTCTCTCAATCAGTTTATGATCTCTCTTGCTTCCAGGCCAACTCAGCCTGTATGGTCAACTAGTATTAGCTCCCACAACCCCATTTCTTTGTCCATCTGCTATTCAACGATCCCATTCTTTGCTCTCCCCAATTCTACTCCTAAGCGACTGAGCCCTATTGTAGAAAACTGGAACTGTGCCGAGTGTGGCTTCCATACAGAGTCCTTTTTAACTCTAATTAGACTATCATTGTTATTCAACCATTTTTAAAAATTCCTCCATAATCATCTTCTTAATCCTCAGATTCTTACTGTTCTACTTTTACTTCCTAAAGGTATCTTTTACTATCTTTTTCTTTTACTTCCTAAAGGTATCTTACCATCTGGTATCCTTGAAAATTTTGATGTTCCCTGATACTTTCTCAACTCTCCCTATCATTTCATCTCCAGTTTGTGCCGTATCTTCATCCAGGTACTTACTTAGCTAACATTTAAAACATTTATGACCTCACTGATACGAGGAATTCTTAATCTCAGGAAACAAACTGAGGGTTGCTGGAGTGGTGGGGGGTGGGAGGGATGGGGTGGCTGGGTGATAGACATTGGGGAGGGTATGTGCTATGGTGAGCGCTGTGAATTGTGTAAGACTGCTGAATCACAGACCTGTGCCTCTGAAACAAATAATACATTATATGTTTAAAAAAAAAAAAAGGAAGAAGATAGCAGGAGGGGAAGAATGAAGGTGGGGACATTGGATGGGGAGACGAACCACGAGAGACTATGGACGCTGAGAAATAAACTGAGGGTTCTAGAGGGGAGGGGGTGGGGGGATGGGTTAGCCTGGTGATGGGTATTAAAGAGGGCACGTTCTGCGTGGAGCACTGGGTGTTATGCACAAACAATGAATCATGGAACACTACATCAAAAACTAATGATGTAATGTATGGTGATTAACATAAATTAAAAAAACATTTATTATGATCCAGGCCCTTATCTACATAATATCACTTCATCTTTTCATCAACGTTGTGAGGTAAATACTATCATCTCAATTTTACAGATTGGTAAGATGTGTGCCCAAGATCATTCAGCCAGTAAAGAACAAAGCCAGGATTTAAATTTAGGCAGTTTCAGCTCAGAACCTGTCTGCATTCTATTCCCTTACCATGAGGGGAAGTGGTGAAAGGCTATGTGTGTTTGGGTGGGGGGCAGGATTTGAACGTCCATATGTATATATGATGTCATATCCAAGACTAATCTGTCTCTTCTGCCTCTGTCTTCTATCCCATCCTTACTCACCTACTCAAGGACTTTGTATTTGCTGTGTAACAAATCACCTCAAAACGTGATGGCTTCAAACAACAATCGTAGAGCATTGCTCACAAGTCTAAAGGTAAGCTGCATGTTTCTGCTCGTGTGGGCCAGTTTGGCTAATTGTATCTGTGCTCACTCACATGACCACCTGCAGACCTACTTGGGACTGGACGGTCTAGAATAGCTCTACTCGGATGTCTGGAAACTGGCCTGATGTCAACTGGGGTAACCAAAGTGGCTAGGCCACGTGTCATCACCAGAAACATCCAGGGCCTGTTCACATATTAGTGATTGCAGAACTCCCCCCGCCTCCAAAGGGGCAAAAGAGAGCAAGCCTCTGTGTGCAATCACTTTACAAGTCTCTGTCTGCATCACACGTGTTATTGTCTCATTAGTCAAGAAAAGTCAGGGTCAGGCCCAGAGTCACCAAAGGGAGCCACACCTACAAAGCCTATAGATTTTGATGCATTAATTATATACTACCCCTTCTCTTTAATCCATCCCTTTCCACTGACTCCTTCCCTTTATCTACCGATTTGGTGGACTATACTCTGTTCTAGAAAACCTCTCTTCAATCCCATTATCCCCTGAGGTATTATGTAGCTGAGTATCAGGGATTGAGTGCATCACTGAAAGTTCTCTGAATTAACTTCCATGTAGAAAACAATGATATTGAAAGGATGAAGTAGTTTAAAAATATACAATAACCACGATAATTGTAAAGAATTTAGACTTTTATTCAGGGAGGAATACTATTTAGAAGTGTTGACACAGGGTGATAATAAGAAAGCAGACTTTTAATTGGTTATATTTGTTTTTAAATTCTCAATAGACAATGCACCCCCCACTACCTGTGCCCGAGAAAGATGTTCCCACTGCTCTGTCCTTGTATGCCAGTGCTCCAGAATCTTTCTCCTGAGCCTTAGCAAGGATGCAAGACATCTCACCTTGAAGTTTCATCTTCATTTATACCTCATTATGTTAAAAGACAAGACTAAAAAAAGACCCTAATTTTTCTCTGGCTTTCCCTAAGCTCTACTGAAGGGCATATATACTTTTAGCTTACAAGATTGTACATAACTGCTCTGTGATTTTCCAGCACTGTGTGAGAGTTTCCATTGCTCCACATCTTTGCCCATACTCATTATTTTAATCCTTTTCAGTTTAACAGGTATAAAATAGTATATATTTTAATTTGCTCTTCCATGTTATAAAAGCCTTGTATGCTTCATTGTAGAGAATACTCAAGTGAAGTTTTTCTTTTATTTCTCTTGCTCCATCCCCCAATCTAATTTCTTTTAGGACTAATCTAATTCCTTTTAGTTTGTGATCTTTTAGCTGACAAATTAGTCACCAGTTTGTTCTGGGTAAATATATCTCAAAACAGGTGTTTGCTTCACACAGTAAAAGAAAAGGTAAATTATTTGCCTAAGTAGAGGTGATATGGCTGTGCCAGCTCTAAGGTTGTGAAAACGTCTCTTGATTTTGTCTCCAATTTTCATTCTCTTAAGTCCTCCCACCAGTTGGTAACCACTGGGAGCAGCCAAACAAAGCACTGCGTATAAGGTTGTATTTGTGATATTTGCAGCTTGGCTTAAGAAAATGAAGTTGCTGTAAGTCTGATAAAGATGTACTCCTGACACTTTCCTACTCTTGCACAGTGGTGAGGGATTTCAGACATGAACCGAGTTCCATTGGACTTGAATCATTTTGAAAAGAACCTCAGATAAGCACCTGAGTTCGAGGCCTTTTACAAAAAAAGAACTTCTTTATGTTTTAATTCTAGGATTTTATTGGGAAGATGAAGGTTGTTGCTTTCTTCCTTTAGAAAATCTCCCTCTGTATTTATGCAGCTCATGATTGACTTTCCGCTCTTATTCAGAGAGCATACAAGTTGGTGTTCAACTCAGTGAAAGCATCAAAATATCCAGCAATGTCAGATCATTAAATAGAACATTATACAGTTATCAATAGACATTATAAAACCTTTTTTAAAAAGTCACTGAAGACTCTTAAGTGATCTAAAAAATGTCCATAATATAAGGTTGAGTTATTGGCAATATATATATGTAATATATGTAAAATATATATGTGTATACACACACACACAAACACACACACACACACACACACACATATATACATACCAAAATATTAACAGTTGGTATCTTTGAGTGAAGAGATTATGAATTAGTAAACACTTAAAAATGGATTTCTGATTTGCAATAGGTCTACCAAAAACATGTATTGTTTTTATAATCCAAAATGATTAGAACAAGAAGTTATTAATAAAAATATAATGTGGCAAAGTTCTGGGAAGACTTAATCTTATACTATAGAAGCTTTGAGGCAGTGATATATACACTTATCTTCCCTTTTGCTTTCTTGAGTTTGACATTGATTTAAGAGAATAATGGAAGTGTAGCTTACTAGATCTATTCTGTAAACAAACATTCAGCAAATTCAGACATGTACAGGCAAGTTTGGTAGTCTGCTGGGATCTATTTGTGTGAAGGAAAGAGGGTCCTGGTAGTGAAAAGTTATTATTTTCTTGATGGTTGATACCACTACGCCCTCCCAAAACTCCATTCACTGTGGCATGGGGGAATATTTAAACTTCCCAAGCACTGGGTGGCATTCCAGTTGAGGAAGACATGCATCATTATAGTAGAGATGGAGTACACAAGCTTAGTTGAGAGTGTTCTTGGGGTAAAGAAGAATTCAGTTAGACGTTCATACAGTAATAACAAGCTTCCCACTCCTTCAGAAAACAATTGTGACCCTCAGGAGAGGAAGCTATGAAAGAGAATGAGTTAAATTAATGCTTTATTAATCAGTGTTGATACAAAGCAAATAGGTCACAGGGCACTCAGTTTCATTAATATTCATCAAAGCATCATTACATTCATGTAGAAGCCTGCAAGGGAAGAGAGACAGTCAGTGGATGATGTCATGAGGATCTTCCCCCCTTCTTCTATTATAATAATAATATTATTCTATTATATTCTATTGTAATAGATAATATTATTATTCTAATATCTTCTATTAGAATAATAATCATAAATTCATCTCTTAGATCAACAAATTTAGAGATTTTTAAAATATGCTATTTTATCCTAACTTGTTAAAATCCCTATATACAATTTCATAAGACTGGGGGTGAATTTAAATAAACTTTTCAAAGCAACTGAGCACGTGTTTATGAAATGGTCACACAATGTGTCTAGCACTATATGACATATTGTAGAGGCTAAAGAACTAAGACACTCCCTCTAAAGAAAGATCTTAGGATCTCATTGGGGAGATAATAATAGACATACATGTAGCACACAAACAACCTTACGTATTCTAGGAGGCATAGTAGGGTGAAGTATAGACAAAGTGCAATTTTAGAATAAAACTCTGGATTTGGCTCCCCTGAAAATCCAATCTCAGTTCCTTTTATTACTATTGGGCAAGTTACTTAAGCTCTGCATGCCTCAGCTTCATCTATGAGAATATGGCAAAAAATTAAATCTGCTGCATAAAGTAATCTATATGTCATATGTTTAGAAGAGTGTCTAATACACAGATGGAGCTCAATAAAAACTAGCTCTTATCACCACCATAGGTAAAGAAAAATACTTCTGAGAATACATCTGATACTTGTAAAATACCAATTGCCAGAGCTGGACCAGACTTTTGACAGAAAGTGATGCCTTTTAGAAATGGCACGATCAGATTTCAAAGAACATTTTCAGGTTTGCATTTTATAAAAGGCCAAGGATTATTCATCCCAATGACAGCTACAAATCATTCCCAGACAGAAAAGAAAGTGGAAAAAATATGTCAGTTGATTATTTTCTTTAAAAAAAAAAAAATCTCAGATCACAGATTGGAGGTTTCTCTTGAAATTTTGAAAAAGTCCACATTTCACAATGATGACAATCCTGAGGATATAGGAAAATCATTTCCCATGCAAGAAGAAGAAACTATCTAAAGAAGAGATAAGAGTGTGCCATGAAATCAAAAAAGGTAAGAAAATAATATTTATTCAGTCAGTCAGTCAACAAACATATTAAGTGCCTACTACATAAGACATGGCACTGGGATCTAGAATCTAAAATTAAAATAGTCCGGGCGCCTGGGTGGCTCAGATGGTTAAGCGTCTGCCTTCGGCTCAGGTCATGATCCCAGGGTCCTGGGATCAAGTCCCGCATCAGGCTCCCTGCTCAGCGGGGAGCCTGCTTCTCCCTCTGCTTCTCTCTCTCTCTCTCTCTCTGTCTCTCATGAATAAATAAATAAAATCTTTAAAAAATAAAATAAAATTAAATTAAATTAAATTAAAATAGTCCGTACGTACCCTTAAGAGTTTTTGACAGTTAAGTGATAAAATGCAATGTGATAAAGGTTAGAACAAGTCCCTACAGAAGGCATGCAAGGGGTATACAAGGCAGGGATCAGGAAAGGCCTCCTGGAGAAGAGGCTTCTGGATGGAAGGCAGGATGAAGTACTGCAGGTACTTTACTATGGCTAGAGCAGCAGTATGGTAAAGCACGGCATGGAGCTAAGCCTGAAGACTGAAGTCCAGGCCATGTGAAGTTCTGCCTTTATTCTGAGACCAAACTGAATCCATTGAAAGATCTAAGGAAGGGGAATGATTTAACTATTTTCATTTTTGTAAAATAACACTCGTATACTAGAAGCAAATTGGAAAGTGGACCAGAGCTGAGCTTTTATGAATTTTGTAGCCAAAAATCTTGTATGGTTTTCTATCTATATGAAGTCTGTGAAGTTCAATGAAACTCCCTTTCTCTTAAATCTGTGTGGCTTGCTGATCCAGTCCAGGGCTATTATCCATTCATCATCAGTTCTCCTCATACTCCTACTCAGTTCCCTATAATTAATATGGCTGTCACAGTAGATGAAGAAAAGGAGGTTGAGGTATGAACTTGCTTTTTCTCTTTTTCAAATAGAAACTAACAGACACTTGGGGACCCCATACCACGAAGAGAGAGTATTATGCAGTGGTTAATAGCACAGGATCTTGATTAAAAGGCCAGTTTTGCCCATTGCTCTCTAAGTGAACTTGGGCAAATT